TTGGGAAGGGGGGTGGCAAGACTACCAGTGGACCATTACTATCTGCTTCTCTTGGGTACCACAGTTTTAGCTAAAACTCTGGCCCTCAAAACATTGTCACACCTTCCGTAAATATTTTGCAGCTTCTCCTGTTCCCTTTCGTAAATCTGGCCGGTTTTTCTGGTTCAGTTGTGTCCCTCGAGCTAGCTGCTGGTATGGCTTAAATACAGGCGTTTAGTCTATGTTTGTAAAACTCCTTGACGAAGTCTACGATAGTTAAACGAAGCGCATCGCGTCGGAGAACAAACAAGTTTTGCAGCTTCTTTTCACAAAATGTTGCTCACTCGTTGTTTCAAATATACCAACTGAGATCGAAAGACAAACCTTTTCCCTCTCATTCCTCGCAATCAACGACCTTGTCATCAGGCGTTTCGAACCCAGCTGCGGTGCAGTATTTCTTTGCTACCGTAAGCTTCAATAGCTGAGGTGGCTTTCCTTCCTCGATGACTACAAGGCCCGACCACTGACATTGGGGTGGTATCGTCTTTTTCCCATCAATACACTGCGACAGAAGAAAAGAAAAAGATAAAACGTTAAAGGGGCCCAATCACCGTATTTTGAGTTATTTTGGTTTAGTAAATAAATTACCTTTAAATAGAACGAAACATGAAAATAATAGTTTACTAAACTAGAAAAGCACTGGAGAAATGATAATAAACCACAAAGGAACAAGGATGGCTAAGGATGGAGTAGATTGACACGGATTTCAAACGATGAACTTGAAAACAAATTAGGCTAATCTAAGATGTGCACACCGCGAGGTAGATCCTTTAGGAACCACAAAAACGTTCTCGTACCCGGGGCGGCGTAACCGAGTGGTCAGGGCATTTGACATGTAATCCAGATGTCCCGGGTTTAAATCTTCGTCTAAATCCCTTGTCACTAGATGGATTAATATTTGTGTTCGCTGGTCCCGAATTCAACCCCTCCACGTCTTTTAAATAACCAACTGGTTAGCCTCCAAACAGTTGATCTTTACCAAGTTTACAGTACTTGTTTTTTCTTCCCCAACAAGGGCAATTACTGACGGCAGCACTAAATACCAAGGCATTTACATTGCAAATAAAGTGATTTTTAATTGTTAAGGTCATTGGTCCGAATTCTGCTAAGAGATGAATTAGTGAGCTGCTACTAAACGTTTTAGCACCGTTCTGGGTGAAATTACTTTCAAACGAAAACAAAACTTGGAACAGTGTAAATACCTCTTGTTTATTTCCACTTGGAAACCTATACTTGACTTCCGGTGGAACAGGTCCGGGGAGAATTTGAGCTGTAAATAAAGGAAACTCGATCAGCGTTGAGAGAACAAAGAGAAAAGGAGAATGTTATGTAACTTTGTTGTGAATTTAATATAATTAATCCCGAGGGACTGAAATAACATGGGCGTGGCGGCCACGTTGGTGATATGAAGGATAATCAACATGGCGTTGATGACGTCACGTATGTGAAACGCATTAATTACAGAACAGCTTTAACGCAAGCTA